AAAAGACCAAAAAAAAAAAACATTGTTGCTTTTGGTGGCCGAAAGATTGATCGCATTTCAAACAAGCCAGGCGATCAAATTTTATGCACACATAACCACAGCGCTGAAAAGCCGTTAACATTTTGCATACACAACACATACACAGACACACACATATACATACGTACATGCACATATTGTTTACATTTATATTAAATTGCTCAGCGTCAGCATTTAGATGATTCGTGAATTCAAACAAGGAGTATATTGATTAGCCAAAGACTTTTGAATAAAATACTCCAATATATCTTCTACTAGTTTTACATCTGTTGACTTCTGTTGACCTGGCCTAGGCGTGATTCACATATTTTATTCAAAAATATAGATATTCTTATATGTATTTATTATATAGTTCTAAAAAAATTATGAATGCGTATGTTGCAGTCGGTTACCCCCTATAGGGATGTACTTATTATACTTTTCTCTTAACTTATTTTTGAGTTTTTGATTTAAAGTCTGCATTTTAGATTTATTTACGAACGTTTTTTATTTTTGTTTCTTTGTTCGCCGCAATTTTAAAACTTTTTTTTATGGGATGCGTAAGTGATTCTTTTTCAGTTTCTTGGCTTAGAGCCTAGAATTCAATTATTAAAGGTTTTTCTTTTTATTGTATCATATTTACTATATTATAATATAATATAATTAATTGTAAAATATTATAAATATTATATTTTATTAACTATTTATTTAAATTTTTTTTACTTTGGGCTATTTAATTCATTTTTATTAAATTAATTTGTATTTAATTTTACTTTTTTATTTATTTATTTTAGATTATTTTATTTTATTTATTTTTTTGCATCGATTATGTTTTATTTTATAATATGAATTATATTATATTATCATATATATCAAATATTTTAAAATTATAATAAAAATTATCATTCCTTAAATATATATAAAAGTATTTAAGACTTTTCAGTTGTACAAGCTAATTAAAATATTTCGGTATACTTTTAATGGTTCTATATGATATAGTATTTCGAATTGGTACTATGCCAAAAGCTGAGAATATATACAAATATAAAGACTAACAACAGTTTGCATACAGAGAGAATGGAGGAGGAGGAGGGAGAGAGAAAAGATTACAGCTATTCATTGTTGATCAACTCCACTGAAGGCAATTACATTAAGCTGGATTTCAGATGAGTAAAAGAGCCTAACCCATTATATAGAAATCGAAATGAATCTCAACAACTAAAAATTCTTTAGATATGAATGGCTGCAGCAGCTTTGCTATTGATCATTCGCGTTAGATAATTTTTGATGAGCTGCTGGTAAAGCCAGCATAATATCATCATTCATATGCAAATGGCTCGGGCTTACGGCCGATCTCAACTCTATTCTATTTTTGCTTGGCCATAAACTAGAACACTTTCGAGAACTGGCTTTTCAGACTCTTTGCCACGCCCAAGAGAACAATTTCTGAAGGTCGCTTTTGATTTTATACATGTATATAAATATATATATATATTTTTTTTGGGTATTTGCATTTGAAACTAGCCTCGGCGTTTGATAACTAAATTTGTATATATATATAACTGATTTGACTGTTTATTTTTGTTTGCTTGGATTTTTTTGTGGTTGCTTTATAATCAAATTTGTCACATTGACCCATATATAGACCTCAACTCGTCAAGTCCAATAACACGGTGTGAGCTCTAGAGTCAAGCATTCGAATCAATGCTTCAAACTATTTACAAAACAAACACACGAATTGAGTTCTCGATGTTGATTTTGCGAATGGCATGTTTACTATACCATATGAATACCCTAACCATTGAATAGTCGACAGGCAAATATGTCTGGGTAAAGTAAATAGGGAATTTTAAGAACATTTAATATTGTTTAAATGTGATTTCACTCTTTGATAACTCCCCTATGCTATAGTAAATATCTATATATCTACCCATCTATAGGGAATCTTCAAGTCGTTATGAGAGCGCCCCCAGTATAGACGACTCTTGCCTGATTCGTATTTACTTGGGGTGTCGCTCTGTCTATTTTGCTGGCGCAAACATGGAAAAGGTGACAAACCTTATGAAGCTGACAAAGCCGAAAACAACAAATGAGCAACAGCTACAAAACGAGTACTCAAAAGGCAAACTGAGCTGAGTGTGTGTGACTGTGTCTGTGTGTGTGTGTAAGTGTGTCTGTGTGTGTGTGTGTGTGTGAGTAAGTTGAAGTAATACAAACTTGGACTTGATTTGCTGTGATTTTGGCATTTTCGTTTAAATGCGTTCAATGGCATTCAAAAGCGTGTGCGAGCTGCCTGCCACCAACTGTGCAACAGGCAAACACTGTTTATGCAACACGAGCTATTAATTGTATATGAGTTGCCATATATGTTTACAGCCACAGCACTGCAATCAGCTAATCAGTCAGTTAATCAACTAGCTCACTTGTCACGAATACATTGTAGTTGGCCAGAATTTACAAGATGAGCTTACTTCAATTACAAAGTATCCGATTATGTCGTATAAACTCTACTTCAATACTCATTCCCGAGTTGAAAGAGAGTATATTAATTTAGTGTATATATATAGCATTGATATATTATATATACATACACCAGCTGGAGGCGTATCAAACATCTGTAAATATTAAACAAATCGTATATTAGCCAATCTTACTCATGTTCCCAAAGCCTTATCGAATTATTTTCTAGCCATTCTACAACAGGTGTATACTTAAGCCTAGCTCATCCATTGCACACAGTAAGTATTGCTTACAGGGTATTTACATGACATTTTGCAGCTGAGCTAACTTTATATGGTCAATGCGTCAATGCGACTCGACTTGTTGCCTTATGGGAAATTGAAATTGAAATCGAAATCCATATCGGAATGGACAGCCCCCCACATTAATGTCAGATAGCGCAGGCCAGGCACATTTTTATTATTACTATGTGCTTACATAATTAGTCGTAGTCAAGGTTAACCTTAACGTTAACTAAATGGTCAACTGCTTGAGGCGTGCTTATCGTACAAAAAAGAAAAAAATGCCAAACACACTTCAATACGATCCCTTGTTCCGATAGCCCAAGTACAGTACCGTGTGCCATAGTATGCAAAAATGCTTGTACTGCACATCGATAAGATTGCCGCAGTCTATCGATATTATATGCACATACATTTATGTAGTGTAAATCTATATATGTATATATACATATATATATATATATATATATATATATATATATATATATATATATATATATATATATATATATATATATATATATATATATATATATATATACAAATAAGCACGATCGCTATCGACTTATTTTTAATCAACTTGAACTTGGACTTGGGTGTGGTCAACCTCTGCGCCATAAATTAGCCGTGAATCACTGAACTGATTGAGAATCGACTGCGGCAATAAATTCGATCAATTCAAATTCACTTTGGACAGTGGAGTGCATGTGGAAGTGCACATAAATAGGGCCTAAACACATATCTTACACTAAACAAAGTTTGGTATAACAATTGATCAAATATTAAGAAAATAAATATCTCATTTCAATATATTTATTTATGTTAGTTAATTTTAGTTTAATAACAACTTCCCTGTACATCAAATCTATGGAGCAACGTTCAGTTGCTCTTCACGAGTGTTTACTGTACATTGTATTTACACCTGAGCACAATCGTAAGACTGTGAAACTTCGAAAACCGCATTGACTTGATCAATAGACATAAAGGTTTTTATGAAAATAGAAAATGTTCACGCAGACCTACACACACACACACACACATAGGAAATGTCAATGTGTGCGTGTGTGTGTAAAGATTTGCATACTACTAGCACCTGGCTGCACCTGTTACTGCTGCTGCTATTATTGTTGCTGCAATGCAATTGTTTTGTATTTTTAGTGCAACAACAACAAAACCGAACAATAAACATGCAATCGGTTCTCGATAAATAAATTACACATACATACATACCCATACATGTGTATGCATGTAAATCTAGCTGCACACACACACATGTATATGCATATATCTGTGACAAGAGGAACAGTACAAAAGAGTGAAACTGCCGTTAAAATGTACACGCTAAAAATTGATTATATGTGCGCTCGCTCTCCCTCTCCAGCTCCCCCTCTCACTGTCTTTATCGTTCTCTATTGCACTTGCCGCCCCTCTTTCTTCTATAACTACTTGGGAATTGTTGCTTTTGTATTGTTTGTTGCTTTTATTTGCGCTACTGGTTGACCTTGACAGGCATCGACAAACACACAAATACACACACACACGCATACAAGCACATACACGAACACAGAGCGACACAGCGAGCGAGCGCATTCTCACGCACGAGAGCGCACGTTCGCTTCACTAGCAGCTCGAAGAGGCGCGCGAGCAAGAGCGAGAGGGCGAGTGTAACATTTAAAGGTTTACCATTACCATACGTAGTATGCGTGTGTGTACTCACCTTTTGCGGCACTCATTAGATCTTTAACCTCTTTGATAATGCGCTTGATCTGTTGACTAGTGTGATCCAATTCCTTTTCGTGACGATTCAAATTATCACGAAACTCGGGACTATCGACGATGCATTCCTCAAACTCCAAGGGCTCCAGGCCGCGGCGTATGTCTTTGCCGCCGCCCATTTTTGTTGTTTTTGTTTTTACTTTTGATGCTGTTATTGTTGCTGTTGTTGTTGACTTTGCTGCTGTGCTGCTGCTGAAATTTGTTTTATGCTTAATCTTATTGTTGATATTGTTGTTGATGTTGTTGTTGATGCTGCTGCTGTTAGGATTGCTGTTGTTGTTGTTGATATTGATTTGGGAGGCGTTTGAATTGCTGCGCCGAAAGCGACGGCGCACAAAGTAAATGTGTTTGTTTTTTAATTTGCTCTTTGCTGCAGCTGTTGCTGCTGTTGTTGTTGCTGTTGTTGCCGTATCGCTGTTGCTTTGCTGCTGCTGTTGTTGTTGTTGTTTGTTAGTAGCTGTTGCGTTATAATTGTTGTTGTAATATTTCTTTTTATTAGTATTCGCTGTCTGCGGCTCATTAGTATTTAGATTTGTATTAAAATTAATATTATTAATGTTGTTATTATTGTAATTATTTTTGTATTGCGTCTGCTTCATAATTTTAAGCGAAAACAAAATTATTCAATTAAATATTTATTTATATATACATGCGTATATATATATTTATTTATTTATTTTATTTTATTTTTTTTATTCGGCACAATTGTGTTCTTTTTTGTATAATTTATTAAATTTTTTGCACTTTTTTATGATTTTGTCAAACGAAAGAAATGCAAAACAATTTTTTGCGGCACTGTAAAAACAAAAGGAATTATAATTAATACACACACAAGCACATGCTACAAACACATAACAAAAAATAAGTATATATGTATATGTATAAAATTATTATAATACAAAAAAAAAAAAAAATACACAAAAAAAATTTGGATTTTCCATTTAAGCAAATCGTGAAATGAAACAATACACAGCTGAGGCATAGATATTAAATTGATATAAAAAATAAATGTATGTACATATGCATGTATGTATGTATGTATGTATGTAGTTATGTAGATGGCGACTATGTAAACAATAACAATAACATTAATAATAATAACAAACGGCTGCCGTCTTTACTATAACAAAAACACAAGCAAGCAAAAAAAAAATAATAATAAAAATAATAAGAAATGAAGTAAATATAAAAACAAAAACACGCAAAGCAAAGCTAACCACAAACATGTGGAAAGGCAGTAAAAATAATTGCTTGTAGTACTAACTTTTTTTTTCAAATGCATATGCTCAATATGAGAAGAATGCAGCAGCAAACCCAACAACAACAATAACAATAACGGCAGGCAGAGCTGAGCAGCGACGCAAGAGCGAGAGAGTGCGCTGGCTAAGCTACGCAAAGAGCGGCTCACGCGTTCACTTGCTCACTCAGTCACTCACGCACGCACAGATGCTGCCAGTGCTGCTGCAGCGCAGCCGAAAACGCTAAGGTACAATTATGTTTATGCGCTGCACGTAGTCACAATCTATTGCTGTAATACTTTGTATTCAAATGGAAATTCAGCAAAATTCGCGAATTGTGAAATTTGTGAATAAACTTCGATCGTTTTTTATTTACATATTGAACTTTCTATTCTATGTTGAATGCAAATGAATAATTGCAACTCTGATCGTACTATCGGACACTGCATAAACTCAAAAATGTATAGCGAAATTCATGTGGCGGCCGCTGGTGTTGCTGCCCTGCTTTCGTTATTGTTGTTGTGGTTTTTGTTTTTTGCTGTTGCGGCTGCTTGCAATTTGACTTTGGTTTGCAGTTACTTTTTGGTTTCCGTTTGCTGCAACTAATTTCATTTGCTAAAAATCAAATTTCGCTCAGCTATACAACACACACACACGCATACTAAACACTCTGACACTCGCACACTCACACACACAGAAACATGCATTCGCCGTCGTTTTTAGCAGAAACTTGTTGAATATGTACGTAAAAAAAACTGGTTGCGCGACATCAACTACAAGGCGCGTTCAGTTCGGCATACACAATACAGAGACGTACATACACATACACACATGCACACGCACACCTTCAACAATTGAAATTGCACTGCATATTTGCGTTGTTTATATTTATATTATTTTTTATGATTTAAGATTTCTTTTCTTTTTTTTGAATAGTTTTGCCAATTTGCACATACACTCATATACACTCTCTCACAGACACACATGCACAATACAGCGCGCACTTTTGGTCAAGAAGTGCGACATGAACTTTATTTTCTCACATGTGTATTTCCACAAAACGGGAGAAAAAATGCAAAAAAAAAAAATATATATGAAGAAAAAAGTGGGAAATAATTAAAGCAACAAAATTACACACTTCATTGCATAATTTCAGCTGCTGCTGCGGCGGCTGCTGCTGCCATTTTGATACGCGCGATCAAGTAAATACGCGTATTTCAAACGCAACACCGCGGCACACACACGAAAAAAAAACAACAAAATGCAATTGTTGGCCCGTCGGTCGCGCGACGTCGTTGTCCGTTCACGGCAAAAATCCAACAAGACATAATCTGAAAACAACAAAAAAATAACAGCACACGTCCACAGTCGGTGAAGGTTACGCCGTGCACCAGCCGCTATTCAGCGTTCTCCGAGAGCATAAAACTATACACATGTGACGTCATGTTTGACTGTTGACAGGTGTATACATTAACAAAATTTTGTAACGGCAGCTCTCAAACTGTGGAAAATAATCGTAATATTTTTGTTCATTTCAACGAAAGATCGTTAATCTTATAAACAAATTATTTCAGTTAATTTAATTTAATATGTGACGTCACGAGTACAGCTGTTACTCTCCTGTAATGCTGCTGTTATTATGTTGCCTGATTGTAGTTTTTAACATAGCGCGCCACTATTTTTTCCTAATGCGTTTAAGTTGGAAATTGTTGCATGCCAATCCAACAGTTAATTAAATAGCAAACAATCACGACTTTCTGACATAATATTACTATGTAGTTACATTGATGCCAGCAAATTTGTTTTTGGACTCTGTTTACTTACTAGCCGGTTTGTAGAGATGCTATGTAACAGAGCTATCGATAAACGTCGTTTACATATTCTGTAACATACTCATGCATGTTAACACAACGAGATTGCAGTAGTTGCCGCCAGGTGTCTCTTTAGTAATTTGAATTTGACGCTGGTAGCAAGCCACAATTTTCAAATGTTCTTTGAATAGCAATCATTCATGATTATTTATTTTGAAATAATGAAAGGCCAGTAAGGTAATTGATTTTTAAATGTAATTTATATTTTGTATATTTTCAATATGTATATAATAATAGCAATTACACAAAATAATATTAATAGACAATAATAATAATAATCATAATAGTACAATAATGATCGGTATATATATATATTTATTTATTCATATAATCATTATATCGCAGCTCAGCGATATCAAAATGAAATCATACACTCAACATGCAAACATACAAAAAAATATATATTATTATCCATATATATATGTATGTGTATATATATTACAAAAAAAAAAAAATAATAATAATAATAATAAAAAAAAAAATTATTTAATAAACAATGCAATTTGTTGGAGAAATAATTAGTGACACTGCTAGTTTTGATTTGAAATATAATCATGAGTTAGAACAAAGAATATATATAAATGTATATATATTTTACGTACGACGATCGTCGATCGATTGGGCAGAAAACATAATTTAAATAATAACAAAATAATAATATATATATATATAGAAGATACATACATAAAGGATATATGCTTGCAGTGGCATGTTTCTGTTTTTTTTATTTTTTTTTTATTTTCTATTAATGCTTATATACCGTTAGCATATAATAATAGTTCGAATTGAATTTCGCCTTAATTTTTTTGCTTGATTCGTTATGCGAATTGGAAAGTTTGCTAGTATATGTATGGATATACATATATATACATATACATATATGTATATACATACATTTATGTGTATGGATCGTCGATTGTTTTGTGGAACGCAAGAAATTTCTAAATTTAAAATTGTGTTAACGTTGCATTCTTATTATTATTTAATATACATGCATATACATATAAACATATACATATGCATATATATTATATATAATTTTATTATTTTTTAACGTGCTACGTTAATGGTTTTGCTTTTTTTTTTTTTTTTTTTTGCTCATTTCTTTTTGTTTTGTTTTGTTTCTTTCACATAAATTTAATATAATTTGCTTTAAGTTAAAATCTTTAATTCTTTAATTAGTAGAATGTTTCGTGAGTGTGTTTTCGTTCAACTTCTTTTTATACAAACAATTACAATTTTATTCAATTTCGTTTAGTTTTTCAGCATTAATTAGTGTTTTGTGTGTGGTGTGGTGAGATTTGGCAAATTTGCATTGCGTGGTGAATGTTAGTTTACACCATTCGCTCTCTTCTCTTCTTTTAAATTCACATCGTTTTTCGCTGCTCGTCTTGCCAAATGTTGCTTATTTAATTAAATACATTTTAAACATTAACTGTGCCTGCTGTTTTTGCATTTTCATAAAATTTTTAAAGTTTCCTTTGTTTTATTTTATTTATTTTTATTTTTATTTATTTTATTTTTTTTTTTTGCCAATTGCAAAAGGTGCTTTTTGTATTGTTTTTACGTGTATATAATTTTCCGATATTGTTTTATTTTATTTTTCTTTTTTTTATATTTATAATTAATAAATTTTATTTATTTATTTTGTATTTTTCTTTGCATTTATGTATATATATTTTTATATTTATACGTGTGTGTGTGTATGTGATTGTTTGTTTTTGTTTGATTTTTAAATGATTTCTTTTTGTTTATTTTTTATGCTTAAAATATAATAATTTTAATAATAATAATAAACTACGACCATTTTTGTTTTATTAAATATTTTCTTTAGCTGAACACTAGTGTTTTGTTGTTTCTTTCTTTGTTCATCCTTATTTTTTTTTATTTCTTTTTTTTTTTTTTATGTGATTTTTTTTATTTTAAGCTTTTGCTGTTGTCGCTTTTGCTCTGTTGTTGTTGTTAGGCTTTCGCTTAGTTGCTTTTGTACCTGTTGATTAGCGGGGAATAGAAAGAGAAAGAGACCATGTATTAGAAAGAGATAGCATGAGGCAACCAAAAATACAGTTTCAGTTAAACTTTTGAATAAGTGAATACAAAATCAAATGCAATTAAATATTTGTTCAAAAGTTCAAACAGATTTTAGAATACAGATACAGATTTTAATTACAGTTGAATAAATTACAAAAAAAAAAAAATATATATATATATATAAAACAAGCAACTAACCGAATTATGGTTTCTGTCAAAGGCAACTTTGTGTGTAGCTCAACAATATGAACAAAAAAATATATGAATATATATAAATATCTATATATATATATATGTATATATTTGTGTGTGTGTATATATTTGTATATATATATATGTATACATAAATATATACACATAATTCACTACGCGTGTTGTTGTTGTGTTGGTGTATTGTTGCTGTTAAATTGGTCGTTTTTGGCGCTCATGCAAAAGGTTAATGAATGCGACATTCAGTTGTAGTAGTTGTTGTTGTTGTTTAGTGTTGTTGTTGCGGCTGCTCATGTTGTTGTTGTTGTTGTTGATGATGTTACAACTACAATTATGTGGTTGTTGTGGTTTTTGTTGTTGTTGTTGTTGTTGATGTTGTTAAATGCCTACATATACTGATAGCCCATGTTGCGTCCTGCCGCTGCCGCTGCTGCTGCTGCCGCGGCAACAGGTGGATAATTTGGTGCATATTGCTGGGGTATGCCCATGGCTGGGCCAGCTGTTATCATCAGCTGCGGCTCCATTTGTATTATGTTTTTATGCTCCGTTGTATCATCCTCCTTCTCGCGCTGCGCCTCATTCAGCTCCAGTTTATCCACCTTGGTGGTGTACTCGCGCAGCACCTGCCAAATATCAAACAGAACAACAACAATATTATTATAAATTGTTATTTGATTTGTGATTGCCATTTCGTTTCGTTTTACCTGTATCAAGTAGGGCATGGCAAAGTCCATGATTTTGTGTTTCCATGCCAGTTCCAGGATAACATCGGGACGCAGCAAATCGTAGCACTTTAGAGCAGACGAGATAAATGTTAAAGATTCAAAATTCAACAGTTTATAGAAGCAGTCGCACCTGATATAGACATGCCGCAAAGCAATCGTGTGCATTGCGCTCCAGGAACCAGCCCAACAGCTCCTCGGCAATCTCCTGTTTACCAGATTCGGCAGCATACTCCATAGCATCCTTGTACAGTTTGTCCTTTTTGCATAGCTCAACGCTCTGCTTCCAGCGATTGTTGCCTATAGATTTAGAGGATAACATATATATCATATTAATTATATATGATATATGATGATATTATTGTAATATTCCCATTCCCACCTTTGTAGAGATAGGCCGCAATGCGACGGAATTCGGTGAGCTCGTGCTTCTCCAGCTTCTGCGCCAGCGCAATGGTATCGAAGTTGTCAAAGCCATCGATGGAATTGCGCAAGCCCTGGTAGTCCTCCTCATCGATGAGCAGACCATTCAGGGCCTCATTAATGGCCTTGTTGTTCAGCGATTGTACGGAACGCAAATAGGGTTTCACCAGCGGCAGATATCCTGTCTTCGAGAAGTAGTTGACGGCACGGGTATGATCCATGCGTGGAGCCAGCACCAAGAGCATGTCGTTCAAGAGCAACGGCTTGTACTCCAAATAGAATTCCGTTGCCTTGTAGTAGAGCTCAATGTTGGCCACCTTGGTGATGATGTCCTTGAAGTGGCCCTCGCGCCACGCCTCCGTCGGATGGGCCATCATGGCGAGCACAGCATTATCATATTCCTCATATTTGTCATAGAGAAAGACCAGCTCGGACCACAGATGCGCCGATTCGGCGGCACGCAACACCTTCGGTATATTGACGCGCGACCAGAACAGCTCCAGATGCTCGCGCATCTTCGATGGCTTGAACTTGGAGTAGAGTATTGCCAATTCGCTGAACATGCCCATGTGGGCGCGCTCGAGACCCAGCGCCGATTCCAGCAGCGCAATCAAC